TTTTAATGTCATTTGTTTTTGTAGCTCTATATCTCAAAAAAAATTTGTTCAACGGCATTGTGGTGAATACTGATCGATAGATAATTTTGTGCTCTATACATTGTGGCTGCCCATTTTTCCAAATTGTCACATTTCAAAGTATGTTTTTCTTTGCTTTTACGCAACCAAAACGATGAAAAGTGTGATGAAAAGTGGATCCTCTACGACAACAGGAGACGTTCAAGACAGTGGTAGTACACCGATGAGCTACCCAGGCACTTCCAAAAGGCGGAATCCCTCTAAAAAAAGCCATGGTTACTGTTTGGTGTGATTCACTATAACATTCTGCAACGGGGCCAAACCATCACAGCAGATTCCTTTTGTGAGGAAATCGACGAAATGCACCAAAAACGACAGCAGCAGCCATTAGTGGTCAACAGGTGAGGTCCGATCCTGCTCCGTGACAAAAATTCATCGAACTGAGGGTCAAAGTTTTACTCAATATTAAATTTTTTATAAAGCTAGGAAATATCAATGAAATTAGAGAAACCTCTTCACAGACTAGAAAATCTGGACAAAGGGTTGAAAGTCGTCTGCAGTTTTTAGTTTTCTGACTCATTGGCTTTGGAGCTAACTTCAAGAAAATATGGCTACACTGAGGTCTCAATCTGCCTAAGTTTCGTTACAGGTCTTCGCAAGGTCTTCAATACGCCCAAGCGACAACTGTGGGTCCACCGATCAAAAACCTTCAGTTCAGACAGGTTGAAGCCTAGCCCCTTTACGCCTGTGGCTGATTTTGTCAGAAGCTCAAAGTCCTCAGACATCAGTACAGCCTTTCGCGATGCAACGATTATGGATGTCCATAATCGTTGTTCGCGGTGCAACGATTATTGACATACAGGATTGGCCAGCACAATCACCGGACCTGAATCTCATATATCGCCACGTTAAACAAGCGCCAAGCAGATGTGACGTAACACTGGTGACACTTTTAGTAGCTGCCATAAGACTGTGTGTTATTTTAACATTTTTTGAGGATTATTTTCGGACAATATTACATTGTTTTTGTATATTTTGATTACATTTTTATTTANTTCAGCACATTTTGTGAAATATAGGTGGTTCCAGAGATTTACTTTCGGTTTCATAATTTCAATAAATATTCCTAGACACTGTCGACGTGTTTATTCGCGAATAGTTATCTGAGATTCATCTCGAGAGTCAAGGGCAAATTCATAAGAGCATCGCGGGTAATTTCGATTAGCAATGGTGTGATAACAGTTTATGTTTTAACTTCAGTGATAATTTGATTCGCAAATATTTGTAATGATATTTGAACCTATAGTTTCAACAAGTGTCAATTGAATGAGCTCGTGCCTTAAATTAGGGAGAAGTGCGACCAGAAGTTTATTCAAAATGAAAATAGTTCAGTTCAAAGCAAACGACAACAAAGTGAGAATAGGTCTTTTGAGAGACGATAAGGTGGTTGACGTTAATGCTAGTGATAATTGCATTCCTCACTCATTGGTTGAGTTTTTATATGAAGAAAATGCTTCGGAACGAATGCAACGGTGAGTATACAAACTCTGCAATTGACAATATTTTAACAATCTGTGAGTATGTTTGCTCAGAAGTAATACATTTAATGATTTCAGGCCATACTGATCAGAAACTCTATTAATCAATTCTTCCCTAAGAAGAAAGTGTTGATGAAACACAAACAAAATAAAAAACTAGTTACAGAGGGGTATGATGCTGAACTCACTAAATGTAAAAATAGATTAGATATTCTCTATGTATAAGGGAAAATTTTCGTTTTGAGGACACCCGGCGATTTTGAAAAAATGTTTGCGTGTACTTACGTATTTTGATGCGTAGATTACGAATCCGAAAGAAAAAAGCGGCGCTCTCCCTTATTTACAAAGTTACGGCCCTTCAAAGTTCTGAAAAGGGCAACTTTTCAGCCTTCTTTTTCACAAAATAAACTATTTAAAAACACAAGCATCTATTCACTAGTTCACCTTTACACCTTTTTCCTCTTTGACACTTTTCACTTCAATAATCAACATTTTTCCAATAAACATGTTAGAAAATGTACGGAGCTGCTTTTTGTTTACATATCTCTGTATTTTATGTTTTTAAGGTTAATGACATGGTTGGTACAACTGACGCAGTTTATATTCCTAAAGTAATTCAAATGTTTTTAACCTTCATTCTTTAGATCGTAAATTGGTTTTTGGTGGTGTATTACGAATTTGAAATAGTAGGCGGCGGCAAATACCAACCGCTTTTTTCTGAAATGTCACTAGTAACTAACCTAAAAATAGAATAATGTCACCAGGAGAAGCATTCGTTTTTAAATTGAGTTTTTTATAAGAAAATTGTTGATTATTGAAGTGAAAAGTGTCAAAGAAGGAGGTATAAGGTGTAAAGGTGACCTAGTGAATAGATGCTTGTGTTTTTAAATAGTTTATTTTGTGAAGAAAAGGCTGAAAAGTTGCCCTTTTCAGAACTTTGAAGAGCCGTAACTTTGTAAATAAAGGAGAGCGCCGCTTTTTTCTTTCGGATTCGTAATCTACGCATCAAAATACGTAAGTACACGCAAAATTTTTTTTCAAAATCACCGGGTGTCTTCAAGACAAAAATTTACCAAAAGTAGGGCAAAAAATTATGAAACAAAAGTAGAACAATCAGATAATAAATCTAAACCGGTATGAGAAGTTGTGAGAGACATTAACGACTATAATAACTTCTTGATAAGTGCAGTCTCCAACTTATTGAAGCAACATCAGGATGAAAAGTTTTCACAGAATTTACCATTTTAGAGATTATTGACGTAGTACCTTTCTACTAGTAAAACCGAAAAAGATCAAAAAGCGGGCTAAACGGGATGGGTCCCTTATCGCCATTCATGCTGTTTTTACATTTTGCTATTTCTAGACTCTCACATGCATCGAGTAGGCTGATGTCATGCACATGCTCAATCAGTTTCAGATTGTTTTAACCAATTCTGTGGTCCTTGTCTAGAGCATGTTGGGCGAAACTGGATTTTTCTATCCTTCCGTATTTCATGTGTGCACAATGCTCTTTGAAGCGAGTTTTAATCGCTCGTCGGCTCTGGCCGATGTATTCGCTGTTGCAATCTTGACAACTGATTTCGTAAATCCCCGACCATTCTGTCGAAAAAAGTTATTCAACTTTCACACCAAAGGTTTCAATCTCATCATTATGAATAAGTACCTACTGTTTATCTGAACTGGAAACAAACGAGTTACTGGAAAACCACCAGTTCAAATATCTCATTGTTTGCTGGCTTTTCTGTTGTATACTCATTTAGTAGGAGTTATAAGTGAGTTCTTCACGAAGATGCCGTATATGAGTTTGACAGAATACTCAAGCCTTGATTATTCGAAATAAGCTTCATCCCACCACTGATGAAAATATCGCTGTCTGGTATAGTTTTTCAGTTTTGGTTTCACCTGATTGCCAAATTTCGTGAAAAAATTCAATCAAGTGCTCAAAAACACTTGAAATGTTGACAGTGGCATACGTTAATTGTACTCTGAGTCTGAAAAATGTTTTCAATTAGTTCCCAAATAATCAAACATTTTTTTTTTAGAATATTTGAGAACCCCAAACAGGAATATCACCTGAAAAATATTCAACTGCTGTCCCCCATCATCAAACCGGACAAAATCTTAGGTCTAGCATCGAATTACAAGGATGACTGCAACATGCGAAAAGTGCCGCATCCGAAGGAACCGGTGGTTTTCAGTAAATTTTCTTCCATCATCACTGGACCGTACGACCCTATTACAAAACCGGCCAGCAGTAATGTAAGTGAAGCGAATGAGGTAGTTTAGCTGAAAATGAATATTTGTACAGTTCCCAAAATCCTTTGGCGAAACCGCATCCCCAGTCTCTACATTCCCATATCAGTCTACTCTCCAAATAGTCAAGAGGCTTGTGTTGCCACATTGCACTTAGTCATACGAGAGAAAAATCTTTTGACAACCACTAACAAACAGTTGAGATTTCTCTCGGATGTGAAGGGAAAATATAATGAGTGATTTTTTTACTGATATCTTTTTGGCAACACTGTTTTTGACAGATCACGCCTGAATCGTGTCTTGTGTCATTGTAAAACTTGTTCAGTTTGGTCTGTAATTCAACTATGAATCGACTTGCAAATGAACAACGCTTGCAAATTATTGAATTTTATTACCAAAATTCATGCTTGGTGAAGAAAGTGCATCGTGCACTTCTTCCAATTTATGGGCAGTTTCGTCGGCCTACTGAGGGAGCTCTTCGGAAGCTTGTGACTAAATTTCGAACCCAGTTTACATTATTGGACATTAAACCACCAACACGCATACGTAGAGTGAGGACCGAAGAAAATATTGCGGCTGTATCCGCCAGTGTTCGTGATGACCGTGAAATGTCAATTCGCCGCCGTTCGCAGCAATTGGGCCTCTATTACTCCCATACGTGTAAAATTTTGGGAAATGATTTGTGTGTAAAACCTTATAAGATACATCTTGTGCAAGAATTGAAGCCACACGACCTCCCACAACGTCAAACATTTGGTGAATGGGCGCTGGTAATTGTGTTCACCGAGGAGGCTCATTTCTAGTTTAATGGATACGTTAATAAGTAAAATTGCCGCATCTGGAATGAATACCAGCCATAAGCATTGCAAGAGCCACCGATGCATCCTCAAAAAGTCACCGTTTAGTGTGGATGGCGAGCGCGACTGTGTGATGATTGACGACTTTATATCGCCCGAAATGGAGGAATTGGACATGCCTGACACGTGGTTTCAACAAGATGGTGCCATATGCCACACGGAACGCGAAACAATGGCCCAATTAAGAGCCGTCTTCGGTAAACAGTTTATCTCAGGTTTGGGGCCCGTCAATTAGCCACCTAGATCGTGTGATTTAACGCCTTTAGATTATTTCTTGTGGGGTCATGTTAGGGCTCATGTCTACAGGGATAAACCAGCAACGACTGACGCTCTGGGAGCCAATATTGAATCATTTATACGTGAAATACCGGTCGATATGTTAGAGAGAGTGTACCAAAATTGAACTCTGCGCATGGGTCATCTAAAGCGGAACCGCGGATAACATTTGCATGAAATCATCTTCAAACATTGAATTATATTGATCGTTCTACCAATTCCAAAGAAGATTTCATCAATTTTTTCAAATTTTTTGTGTTGGTTTGAAAATCAAATCCCATTCTTCTTAAAAAATCACTGTTTACTTTCTCAATTAGTGAACGTCTCAATATATTCACGTTGAATGCAATTCAGTCGAAGTACCCTGCGTGTCTGTCTGTCTAACCACGATAAACTCACCAATGGAGGAGTGATTCAAAAATGAACTTGCAAACAGGAACAAATTAACTTTGTACTGGGTGCCAGGGCATTCAGGAACCACAGGTAATGATGCTGATGAATGCGCTAGACACAGATCATCAACTTCATATATAGGTCCTGAACCAGCTCTGGGGGTACCAAAATCATTGGTACGAAACCACAACATTAGGACATGGACCAATAAGAAGCACATAGAGTACTGGACAAAAGTACCTGGCAACAAACACAGTAGCACCTTCCTTAGGAAACCGTCCGAGGAAAAAACCGAAGAACTACTTCAATATAGTAGGGATCGGCTCAGAATAATCACAGAATTACTAACTGGTCATTGTCCGCTTAGAGGACATCTGAATAAAATGGGGCTGAACAACGGAGACCTCAGCTGCAGATTATGCAACGAAGGGATAGAAACAGCTCTACACATCTTATGCGAATGTGAGGCACTGAATCACAGGAGGCAGGCAATATATGGACGTACGAAATTACGTCCAGAAAAATATGACGAACATTCAACACGTACAAACCTGTACAAACTAGTACAGGGAACGAGACTGATGGAGTGGATGTCATGAGAAGATGGGAGAATAAACGCAATAAGCCCAAGAGACCGCAGTCTTATGAAGACTTGGACTCAATGGACAAGTCAGACAGCTCCCAAGGTACCAAAAAAACCTTCAACAAGATGACTGTTATTAATTGTTAGAGGTCGGAACCTCTGTTGAAAGATACTTTATAGCCCAGTGGAAGTTTTCGGAAGCCGATAGGAATATTTTCGAAGCGACGCGACATTTATAACGATCGAGAAGCAGAAGTAGAGTTGAGTGCGGCCTTGGCTAATTGACAGTCAAACAACGTTGACCAGCGGCGGCGGCCGTTATTTTTTTCAGGGGATGATTTACAACAGTATGAATGGAATATTACTGGAGTTTTTCCCAACACCAAACCGTTATTTCAACACCTCGAAACGTGTTTCGATCACCAAGTGATCATCTTCAAGAGGAAGATCAGTTTGATCACTTGGTGATCGAAACACGTGTCGAGGTGTCAAAACAACGGTTTGGTGTTGGGAAAAATCTCCAGTAATATTCATTATTACACCAAAGGTTCAAAACAGTGGATCACAAGAGCAGTATAATTTATCAATGTTTTGTGTGAATTGGTTGGAATATGACGATCTTTTTTGTCAACATACATCGTTATTTTTTCATTGATGTACAAAAATATCTGCAGTGGCATATGTGTATCTTTTGAGGATACCTTGATGCTTGAAATAACGGTCACAAATAATCTGATAGATGCGATGTCAATTCTTACTGGATTATGAACTTAGCTATCTTGACAATATGAAGCTTCTTATAATGCCCTTGCTATTATACAATTGAAATCAATAGTTTGAGAATTATCGCAGAGTAGAATCTATAGCGTTGAAAAATGAATCAAATGAATCAAAGACCTAAAACCGATATGACGAGATCGTATTTTTAATTAATTACAAGCAGATAGGTATAGTTCAAGTAAACGATATAGTGCAACCTACCTTTTTCAACTAAAATTACTTTT